ACCAATGTAAGCGGGTAGAAAATCAAGCCTAAAGAGTCCAAACTTTGTGACTGTGCTCCCACATCCAGTGGTTAAAGTAGAGAAATGGACTCTGAAAGGCCATTAATGTGGATTGAAACAGGTCCCTTAGCTCTGACTGTACAAGGCAATGGGGTGGGTGGAACTGTGGGGCAATGTGACTTTCCCAAGCCAGGGATAAGAGCCGGAGCTGTGCTAGTCCATGCTCCCATTCATTTTAACTCCTATCTCCCCACCCCCAGCATCACCGTTTGTGGGCAAAGATGAGTTTCAACACCACATAGCACCAGCAGATGGCACTGCCTGTTAATCACTAGAGCTTCAGTCTCTGGATAGGGAAAAGGTGGGAACCTGCTCGAAAGATGGAAGGTTTTTATTTTAACTGTCTGAAAAGCAGTCACATGTCGCTCATGCAAAACAGTGTGAATTAGGCTGGTCGGTCGGAGTCCAGTTGTAGGTGGGAAGGGGCCCACGTCCCAGAAAGAGCTCTATCATTGGTCCGCTTGTCAGCATTTTCCGCAGAGAGCCCGAGGACTGAATGGGCCATACAGCCTGCAGCCCACTCTCACCCTTAAAGGGGGTCCCTTCCATTCAGAGTTGGGTGTGTTGGTGGGGGATGTCATGGAGCAAGCATGTCTTCGTGCTGCACATGCCCTGTTGGCTCTGTGGACATGAAGGACCCGCGCTCCATAGCAGTCAGTCTGACAGCTTTCCCCAGCACAAAAAGTCATTTCACATTTTATTGAAAGGTTTTAGAAAGAAGCAGAGCTGATGCCTGGGTGAAGGTGACACCATCCTCAGTGCTGTGCTGGAAACAGCATCCGGAACCATGTCCTGGTCCCAAAAGAGACAGAGCCAACAGTCCATCCCCACTAGGAGCTTGCTCTCTGAGAACATAAACAACTGCCACCGAACAAAAGGGGGGGCGCTGCAAAGGTAAGTGATTTTATTTTACATAAATCTCATAGGATTAGGAATGTGAGGTCAGCTGGATACATACTTATCCTGTCTGTGAGATTTCTGGTGTGAGATCGTGCTTCATCTGTATCAAGACTTCAGGAGGCTCCCGCTCCTTTGATATGCTGTCTGTGACATTCCGCCTGCCTGCATAGGAGCTGCCTCTTTCTGCAGCATATCTAGCCACGGCGGGCTGGCCTCTATCATCAAAAGTCAAGGATCACACATGCATAATGCAAACTATTCAGTGTTAATACAAGGAATGTACAAAGTCTGTCTTTAATGAGCATTGATCCCTGCATCCTGCATATACAACACTTGCATTCTTACTGGTATGGGGGTGGGGGGGGGTTGCTCTACTCAGGGCCTGTTGGTGGGAAAACTCTTATCTTCTGCACCCATGGCTTTCTTACTTGCTGCCATGGGGACGGGGGGAGGTGATGATCATGTAGGGCAATGCTCAGGTACTGGAACTTGAACCAGTCTGATGGAGGGATTTTGAAGGTAAAGGTTGATACCCAAACCAAGGTTTGGGGCCTAAATTCAGGTTGAATTCAGCCATGTATTGAATGGTAAGTCAGTGCAGAGAGTGGAGCGCTGGGCGGATGGGCTCTCCATGGCCTATGTTGTTGCGTGGATGGATTACTGCGTTCTGCACTAATTATAATAAAAGTGGGCAGCATCTACAGAGCATTTCGGCTACAAGCCATGGCAATTTGCACACTTGCCACCTCCAGGCAGCAGTCTGAATCAGACCGGAGGGGGCAGTGTCCTCTTGCTAGCTGGAGATGAGAAAAAGACATTTCACAGCTGCAGCACTTTATATATCCAGAAGCTGTGGACCATGTAAAGGAGGCTGATGTTTATACATGTGAATGCCCAAAAGTATCAGCTCCAGCCTAACTCATCCAATTCCCATTTGCTTTAAACCAAAGCCTCTCCTAAACAGAACTGTGTGGTTAGGTCTCCCCAGGAATCATTTTCCAGTTGCTTCTCAAATACCTGGACCTACTTCTTTTTATCCAGTTTTTGATGTCCCCCAAACCTGTCAAACTAATAGGGGATCGGCATTTTCTCCAATAGGCTGGTTGACTCTAAATGCGGTAATCAGATAATTTAGGCCCCAAACCAAGGTTTCTGTAACCTACTAACCTAATACTTCATGTATCCCATTTCTGATGGCATCATCAGGAAAGACATGGACCTAGATGGTAAAATGAGGTCTTGATGTGAAGAACATGCCCAGCAGATGTTACATCTCAGAAGGGACAGCCGATCTCTTGTTTTCTAACAGGTGGAAGTTCTAACTTCTAACCTAATAATAACCAGAAGTTTTTCATTAACAGTGCTTTTAAAACCTCTCTGGAAACAGCTTTGCTATTGGTGGTGCATGGATTTAAAGAGTCCTCTGCAGTGTTTGCATCCCAGACAACATAGCGCTGGCCTAGTGCATGAAAACCAAGAGGTGCAACTGACTAGTCTCATTGTCTAAGCTGCCTGAAATGCAAAAAGTAACATTCTTTCATTTTTATTGGTCCTAAAACATTGGTAAGGAGGCTGGTAAGGAAGTGAGTTTAAGTACATGATTTTGAAACCCAAGTGATCCTCTGATCCATGTTTACTGAGCTTTATTTAAAGCTGCAAGTATTTCCTATTAATTAGCGTGGCCAACACTTTTGAAGTTTAAAAACTGATACTAGTCCAGGCTGTCTGTGGGGTGAATAAGAAGGGGGTTATAGACTGCACACTAGAGCGGGATTTTCCATTTTGCAAGAAATTCCAAAACTTCCTCCCAAAAATGGGTCTGAAACAGATCACAAACGAATACTGAAATTTCCCACAAACTGAAATTCAGGGGCGAGGGGGTGTGTGAAATCATTTTGGATCAATCAAAGTGTTCCATTTTGGTAAAATGTTAAACAATTGAAACAAAAGGTTGTTTCAAAATAGAAAATGGGAACATTCCATTCTGGGTTTTTTTCCTGAATGAAATGTTGTCAAAATCAACACACTTCTGAAAAATGTTCTGCTTTCAGTAAATTGGCATTTTCCAAAGGAAAAATGTTTGTTGGAGAATTTCCGACCAGGGCCAAAATCAGGGTTGATTTATAAATAAAGACACCCCCGCTTCCACTGTTTGTTTCTCTTAGACCACTTACCAGCTGCTACCAATGTGTAAGGGAGTTTCAACTGGTATAACTTACATACAAGATATAAGAAGGTGTAAATGACAGTAGGGTGGAGCACCATCTTATGCATTCCCTGGGCCTTTAGCACGTGCCTCATGCCAGCGTAGACTCCTACACAACTCTCTTAGACTCACACCCACTTGCTAATGTGTAGCTTACCAAGTTGTCTGAACTTGGCCTACTGAGGCTGAGTGTCAGGGAAAGTCTATCTATTCCATCCTGAGATCCCTGTAGACTGACTTGTACTCACATGTGAATTTGGCCCTTAGTCCCTGCAGGTCTCACCTGCTAGAAAACAAGAGATCAGGATTTCCTTCCAGAGGTAATATCTCCTGGGCATGTTCTTCACATCAAGACCGTCTAGGTCCACGTCTTTCCTTATGATGCCGTGGAACCTGGGATTAATGCACGTGACATTTACACTTTGGATGAGGGAGAGCTTTTCCTGGTGCTCGCTGATGTCTGACAGCAACAAAGAGGAGTTAAACAGCACCAGGGAAATGCATCCACATGGACTGGGAGACTGAGAGCCAGTTGCCCGGCAGCTAAGCTCTGGCAAACAGAGCAGTAGCACATGCCCACACAAAATTCTCACTGCTGGCAAAACCAACAAACCATGGCCAAAGTTTGGGAGGTTTGCCAACAGAGCAAAATGCTTTTCCATCCTGCCTCAACAATTTTTCAGGGAAAAAATGGGACCCTGGGGGTGGGGCAGAAGTGGGCGGCACAACTTTTATTCGTTGCTACAAACATGGTGACAGGATCTGACTTTCCACTGGAGAAAATTCCTGGTTTTGCTCAGGGGAGTTTGCAAGTTCGGTGTGAAAGCAGCAGGAGGGATGCTGCAGGGCATGGCAGAGGTGTGTCTGCAGGGCTACATGGGGATAGAATGAATGACTGGAATAACAGTGAGTGCAGAAGCTCAGGTGAGACATGCATTGAGACAGAAGCATGTGAGCCCAGACCTAAAAAATGAAGTGGGGCTCTGGGGCCAGGATTGAGGAGCACAATGGAGAAGCTTGTGCTGGCGTGACTTGTTCTGTGGCTACCCTTCAGTCTCCAGGCCTAGCAGTCGGACACCTGCAATTGGCCTGACATTTGCTTGCCAAAAGATAAAATCTCCTATTAAACCTAGTGGGACTGCTCCTGTTATTCTCAAATGAAGGCTATGCAAATCAAAGCCAAGAAAGCAAGCAGGCCAGGGGGAGCATGGGGAATGTGCCTCTTGATCCAGCTGGACCAGAGGGAACCCCCACTGCAGGGCGAGTCCTCGTGCAACAATCTGATAGTTGACATGCAAAAGACAAGCTCCAGAGAAATCACTCTCTCCCTCTGCCTCCTCCCCCTTTCCACTCCTTGATCCATCCCAGAAGAGAAACCCGCTATGCTTTTCACAGCGCTGATGAACACACATGAGTTCTCTGATAGCAGTGCAGGGCTCCAGCTACTGCATTTCCCCTGCCCTTCACTTTTAAGAGCTGCCTTTGTTTGCATGATTTTGAAAAAAATACCAATACAACAGAGGCAGGCACAGGGAGCAGGGAAGCTCAGAACCTTGCAGATGGAGAGGGGTGATGCATATGCATTGGGTTGCAGACACTCACAGAATTAGCAGGGAGAGCAAAGACCACGCAGTTGATAGAGGAGCACAATATCCTTTGCATTTTGCCAAGGAAATGAAGGAGCCTCCTATTTCCCCCAATCCCTCCCCAGACTGGCCTATTCTGTCCAAAGACGTGGCCCAAACCCCTCCCTCCCCCGGCTGCTTTCACTCTCAACCACCTTTCCCTTTCCTGTTCATTCAGAACAGATGATGCTCCTGATCACATGTGCACAGCTCTTCTCCCTCCTCCCTTTCACGGCCCTTTAAGTAGCTTTATTACGCAGAGAATTCATTTGTACTACACACAGCCAGAGAGAGGGAGCAGGCAAAGGGAGGGAGATTTAACCGGCAAAAGTAGCACCGTGGTGCTGGAGGGCAGGGGGTCTGGGGAACCATGGCATCTATGTCAGAGCCAGCAAAGGCCTGGGATGGCTAGGGGCAGAGGATGTGTGCACTTAAATCCACAGCACAATATAAATGTTCTGTAATACCAGGCAGGAGGCGGTAGGGAGGGGAGAACCTGGGATAAGAAGACCCCAATGCTCTGGTGATGGCATGGACCGGAAGCCCTTCCAGCAACTGTTTTTACCTTCCTCCCAGCTCTGTCTCCTCCGGGTCCCCCAAAAACATGAGGGAGCAAGACTGATGCAGAACCATTGTTAGCAAGTAAGTTACCCTATTGTTTGTTTGCTTCCTATCTCTCTCTCTCTCTCTCTTTCTCTCTCTCCTCTGGCTGCTGCCCAGAAGGCAGGAGGACTTCAGTGGACCGGTTCCTAGGGCAGCCAAGCACAAGGATGCACTACCCAGCCACGTGAGGGAAACAATGGGTAAATAGGTGCTGTCTAACTGCCAGGGAACTACTGGAGAAGACAGGAGCCAGATTCTGATTTTGGACATGCCATTGTCAGCTCTGACAAGGGTGTTGTGAGGGTAAATTGTGAGGCACCCCCATACTACAGCAATGGGCATTGTATAAGGACCAGAGAGAGAGGAGCTACCCAGCCCTGGAGCCAATGGAGCGAACTCTGGGTTTGCACCTGGGGTTAAAGGTTAAACTGTAAGTTTAGGGCATTTACTGTTTCATTTGGGGTTCAGAGAGCAACTGGAGTTTAGCCTCTTCTTCGTTGTTATTGTTAAAGCAAACCTTTGAAGTGCAAGGGGCTGCTTAGTGCCTGGGGAATCCCAGTTGGTTCTGTGGGCGTATGTGGCCATGCCACATATCAGGGTGGCCCGTTTGTGGGCTGTCTGAGGTGATTGCCCAGGGCGCTCTGACCCCCCTGGCTTGGCTGTTTTCCACCATGCTGGACTGACCTAACGCCCTGACTTTCATTTAATCTATTTTTCACTCCTTGGTGAACTGAGTGTCATGAACCGCGTGGGAATCACGTCTTAGGGCTAATCATAGGACTGATTGATCAGCATTCGGAGCCAGCTTGATTTGTTAGGGGTTGGCCCTGGGTGGGACGTCAGGGGCCAGGGTCTGAGCTGGCCTTTACTGGATTGGTTAATTAGCATTATTATTCAATATTTGTATTACTAGAGCTCCTAGGGGCCCTGGTCATAAACCAGGACCCCATTGTGCTAGGTGCTGTACATACACAGAACAAAAAGGTGGTCCTTCCCCTAAAGAGCTGACAATCTGGCTTCCCAGCTCTGAAGTCCTGCTAGCAAACAGAGCCTGAGCCCTAGATAAGGAAATAATTTTGTGCTAGGAATGTAGTGGACCAAGCTTGAGGGTGGGGAGAAGTGAAACTGGACCTTCCCACGAGCTGTCCGCCATGAGTTGGCAAGTCCAGACAGCTAGGGAGGATCTAAGTAAGTTTCGTGTCAGTTAGATAAGCATGTCTAGAAGCAGGCTGTCTAACTTCTGGGGCTCAATTCTCCTCCCCCTTGCCCTGAATTCCACCAGTCATCCCACTCTCAGAAGTCTTCCAGCCCAGTAGCGCAGCCCCAGGAGCTTTGAAGAGTCCAGAGAAGCAGTCAGGATTCTAAGTGCTGATCCAAGCCAAATCTCTGAACATTTTAACATTAGAGACAGCCCCTTCTTGTTGGTCTAAAGAGTCGCCTGGACGTTTGCAGTGAAACCTGGGTTCCAATCTGCACCTTGACACTTAACCAGCTGTGTAACCTTGGGTAGGTCACGTCACCTGTCTGTGCCTCAGTTTCCCCCTCTGTGAAATGGGGATAACAGTACCGTCCTATCTCATGGGGGCAGGGAGGATGGGGGGTTTGCTTAGCCAGTTCATCTTTGAAATCCTCGGAAGGAAGGTGCTGTAGAAGTGCTAAGCAGTGGTCGTATTATCGTCCATTTTCCAAGCAGGTGCAGGATTATATAGTGACTCTCGATTGCTATTGGGGATGGGAGAATTGAATAATATATGTGCTCAACCGCAGGAGTATTTTTGCCATTTGGCCTAGGTTTCCCCATAGTCTGGGTAGGGGAACTCCTTAACCCAGTTCTCTCTAGGGGCATCCAGAGAACATGAACTGCCAGTAACAGGATGATGATCAATAACTCGTGATCAGCTGGGAGATGGGGCAATGGCACTGCCAAAGCAGCCCCCCAAAAATATCAGAAGGGCAACAGGCATCTCCAGAAATAGACAGCGGGACAGGTGTATGGGAAGCAGCGCTGCTTCATAGAGAGCCCAGCCCTGGGGAGAGCCACTGCCTTGGAAAAGGGCTGGATCAAATAGGCTTATTTTCAGGTTTGGTTCGTTGGGGAACCAACTATCAACTGAATATTAGAGACTCAGTTAGGGATCTCTGAACATCAGCTTATGCATGCATCTCTCATCGTACTGTGTTTTATCCACACTTCCACTTACAGCTGCCCAGTTATTTTATATTAATTACATTTCCCCATCCACCCCTTGCAATATTTACACTCCCACTGAGCCAGTCATTATACCAGGCAATATATGCTCCCTGGTCTCTATATTATGGTAACTACATGCTCTCCAGTCATTATTTTATATAAAATAACACTTGTTCTGTTAATTCCCAGGCTGCTTGTGGGGTCATTAGAACAGCTCATAAAGCATTTCCCAGTCTCTATCTTTTGTGAAAAATACAATTGTTTTGTTTTTCATTAAAATGTTAGCTCCTCCACTGTATTTTTATTAGACTAACCTCAGTATATTTGTAGTACACCCACAAATTTGTATTTTACATATGATTTTTCATGCTTTAATTCCTGTTGGAAAAATGCATTCACAGCCCCCTCCTGCTCTCCGCAAAACTGGCATAAATAGAAATAAAATAACAGATTTTATTTTTTTAGCTTATTCCACTTTTCAAAAAGCTAGCAGTAAAAACAGAATTTTTAACCCCTAGCAATCAAAATAAGATGCAAATTCGTTCTGTCTCATAGAAGGACAAAGGTCAGATTCTCTGCTGGTGTGAATGGGTTTGACTCCATTAAAGCTGATGGAGCTGCAACTGTTTACACCAGCTGTGGATTTGGCCCCTGGTCTAATTAGGCAGAGGCCATTATTGGTTTAAAATTTTCTGAAGCAGGTCTGGTGAAAAAGCCCTATCTAATTTAGTGGGTATGAGATGCTGTAGAAAACTCTATAGAAATTACTCTTAAAAATCTATAGGATTTCATAGAGAATGATTACAAGTTTCATTGAGCAACTGAAGTTGTCTATAGTAGGAATATAACTCCATTAAATTCTATATAGGATAGTTCAGAAAACTCTCTGCCACTGAATCACCGTTTGGTCTTGGGCCAGACATTCTGTGCCTCCGTTTTAGCCATCTGGGACGTTGTGTTCAGTACTGACTTAAGAGTAAGTGTCACCTATTCAACAATCAACACCACTTTCCATGGCAACTTCCACGACCATGTGCACTTGGAATTTCCTTGCACTCCCATACCAGTCAGTCCTGACCCTGCTTGCAAGTGAGAGCTAAGGGGCTCTTTGCAGAAGATGGTGTGAATACAGATCATTAGCTAGAGCAGTATTTGGACAACACTGAAATCCACTGGGCATTCTGTATGAAGATAATATATGGTCAGCTGAAGATATCTGATCAATTGTTCTTCATGTTCACTGAAGGTAGGACAAGGAGTAATGGGCTCAATCTGCAGCAAAGGGGACTTGGGTTAGATATTAGGGGAAATGTTCTAACTCTCAGGGTAGTTAAGCTCTGGAACAGGCTTCAAAGGGAGGTTGTGGAATCCCCATCATTGGAGGTTTTTAAGAACAGGTTGGACAAACACCTGCCAGGGCTGGTCTAGGTTTATGTGGTCCCGACTTAGCGCAGGAGGGAGGTCCCTCTCCATGGGGTACAGGAGATGTTACCTTGATTTTTCAAAACAATTTTCAGCCATACAAGAAACCATGGGTCTTTTATTCAGTGGAAGCAAAGGAGAGAGGGCCAGTGTTCAAGGCACTACCCTCGCATTTGGGAGTCCTGGGTTCAAGTCCTTGCTCTGACACAGGCCTCCTGTGTGACCTTGGGCAAGTCATTTAGCCTCTCTGTGCCTCAGTTCCCCCTCTGTCAAATGAGATTTATAGCATTTCCTAGGCTCACAGGAGTATTGGGGGGATAAATGCATTGAAATGGCGAGGTGGTCACTATGGCAACCGGGGACCATATTGGAACCTGACTGAGGACAAAAGAGCTCTGGAATATTTGAATGCTGATCATCCAGCGTTGGGCGGAGGACTAGACAGACAGGAAGCATACCAACAAAGAAGTGTAACTATCCATAAACCTTGTCTCTCCCCATATTCTGCCAACTTTCTGCCCAGAGAAATTTTCTTACCACCCATTTTCTGAAAGACTGAACAGCTGGTGTTACAATATTTCTAAGCATAACAAACTCTGAGCAGACAAGCAGTCATCAACCTGGCTCTGTAACAAGCAGCAAAGCCATCTCACTTCCTTTGGTAGCTGCCTAACTAATCATCAATCAGCCCCCTTTTTGTTTCTGTGGGCAGGTATCTCCTGCAGCCTCAGAGGAATTTCATTGTAAGTCGGCACTCAGTTTTGTCAATGTGTGAGAAAAGTGATCCTGCCAAGCTAATGAAAACTCAGAGGAAATTAAAGGAATCTTGATACTTTGGTGCTGAGTGAGTTTACACTTTGAAAAGGAATTATTTGGGCGGGAGGGGAGAGAGAGACAAGGTAATTCAGCTTCTATGATTTGAACCGCACGTTTATCACTAAAGTGCTGTCAGTTTCCCTCCTGTACACTTTTTCTTTAACGTTTTGCCTTGTCTATTAATAACAGCAGAGTAGCTCTTACACAGTACTTTTCATCCATAGATCTCAAAGCACTTGACAAAGGAAGCAGGTCTCATTAGCTCCATTTTAGAGATGGGGAAACGGAAGCCTAGGGAAAAGGATTGATTTGCCCAAGATCGGTCGGGTCGGTCTGTTTCTCCCGTGTACTTTCACTTAGGTGCCACGGACAGATTAACCCTTATGAAGTACAGGCAATAAATGAAATAGGTGAATGGAAAGCTACCTTCTTTCAGGGAAATAAAGATTCATTTGGCAATAAGCATCTCTCTAGCATGCATCCACTACTCAATAGATTTGCAAGGGCTGTAGCTCACGAAAGCTCATGCTCAAATAAATTGGTTAGTCTCTAAGGTGCCACAAGTACTCCTTTTCTTTTTGCGAATACAGACTAACACGGCTGTTCCTCTGAAACCCTCCCTAATGGTGTCCCTCCGTTCCACTCTGACTTCTGCTCAGTTTGCCTTCTTTGAACTTTCTGTTTCAATCCATTTGCCTGCAAATCTGTCTGTTATCTGCCCCTGGTGATAAGGATCTACCTCTATGGGCATCCTTCAGTCAGGGACTTTAATTCGATTGCTGTGCTGTAACAAGTAGGGACTCTGCTTCTCAGTGGAGTCTGTGGATTGAGGGTTGGGGCTGCATTTGATGTGGCATGGGCAGAGGGGATGCAAAAGAACCGCTCTTTCAGTAATAATCATTCTATCAGACTGTTTATCCAGCAGTCTATTAGTGTACCTGACTGACTGCTTGTCCCTCTGCCCTGGCGTCTCTCTCAGACCCCATTCCTGCATTGTTATTGGGCAGCCTGGCTTCTACAGCTTTGAAGTGATAGAATTTAGAGAGAGGCATAGTGCAAACAGGTGCAGCATCCACACAGCTCTGCTGGTGCACCATAATTCTGACCTGCAGCACCCCTTGATATTCCAGTCCTGGGCCCCACACTGCTCTGCTAATGCACGTAAATCCAAACTTGCAGAACCAGTCCTCAGCTCCCGTGCAATTACCAGTGCATCTCAGCCCTGATCTGCATCGCAGCTCCCCTGGCCCACTATTCCAAGCCCCTCTGGAACAGAGATTGGCAGTTCTGCTGTCTTAGGGGTGGTAGTTTTATAAATATAAATGTCTTATTGTTAATAGACAGGCGGTTCACATGGCTGTGGAAAGTTTTGAACCATGTGTTTCTGTTAAGGAAAAAACTATTTGACCAACCATTGTAATAAGGTGAGAAAAGGGATTTGTTTAGATTTTCCATCTATTTTCATGATTCTCTGGATTCTCACACAATACATTGCCAGATTATTATTATTATATTATACAAATAATTCCCACAGTGCCTAGAGGCATCAGCCATGATTAAGATCCCACCGTGCTAGGCGCTGTACAAACACCTGGTAAGAAACAGTCCCAAAGGGTTATGATTCCAACTGCCAAGAGAGAAGAAAGGGTGGAAGAAAGGAAGAGATATAATCCTCACTTTATAAAAAGGGAACTGAGGCACAAAGAGATTAAGTGATTTAATCAAGGTCATGTAGGAAGTCTCTGGCAGAGGTAAACATTGAACCTAGCTCTCCTGAGTCCTGTGTCTTTATGCCTTAACCACAGGGCCATCCTTCCCCTCCAAGAAAAAGTCAAAACCTGTCCCTATTGAAGTTAATGGTTAAATCCCTATTGCCATCAGTGAAATCTGGATTTGACATAAATTCTTCACAAGAAAAAAAAAGTAACCCTGCTAAGAAAACAGAAGTCTGCTCTGACATTTTGGGGGTGTTTGTTTGGGGAGGTGCAAGAGGTACGTCAACCCTGTATGGAAGCAGCCATGGGAAAATGATGCCTTCTGAAGTTCAGCTAAAATCCATCTCTTTCTATTTCAGCATTTCTAAGTTCCTTTCGCTTAGTGCTCCCTCCTCTCCTCAAGTTTGGCATCTGGGCAAAAGCTGAGCGATACCGAGAAGCCTGATAAAAGGCCTCTTTGCAGAACTGATAATGCACCAACTCTCATCTCCTTTTGCAGCAGCTCCAGCAGCCTGTCTAAAAGGAGCATGAGGCTTTGTACAAAAGTAACATTTTTATTATCCTGGCCTTGTTTAACCAAGGACGGTAAATGTGGTACCTGTGACTGACCATCACAGGCAGTTCCAGTCTCTGAGTCCACTGCTAGAGAGAGAGCAGTGCTTCACAAACTGAAGGCTAATTCTCCCTTGCATGCTTGTACACAGTTACCATTAACCAGGGGGGATGTGTGTGCATGGTGAGGGTGGTTATGGATGTGGAATAAAGGAGGAATTCAAACTTATCTCTGCACTGTTCTCCCTTTTCGCTGTATGTTATGTTGACAAATGGGTGATTTCAAACCTCTAAGGTCAGGGGAGGTTCCCTACAAGACTTACAATTATATTTGCCTAGTTTTATAACTAGAAGTAGCGTTAATCCCCCATTTTACAGATGGGGAACTGAGGCTCTGAGAGGGGAAGCAATTCGCTCAAGGTTACAAGTCGGTCATTGACAGAGCCAGGAATAGAACCCAGGTTGGTCTCTTGACTCCTAACCCTGTGCTCTAACTGCTAGATAATGCTTCCTCCTTTACGAAGAAGAATTAATCTCCTACATGAAGAGGACTGTGATCAATTACTTGTATCACTCAGCTAGAAGAGACTTAAACTGCAACAGGGGAAATGATTAAATATTAGGACAAATTCTAATTACAGTGAAATGGGCAGTACAGTTCACCTGCAACAGGCAATACTTCTGCTTTGAGGGATCTCTTTTAAGGATCCCCAAGATTTGCCAAACAGTTTCAAACTTGACCTGTAGTTAAAGACCAGCTGTCCTAGCAACCAATTTTTGCCAGTCCCCTGTATGTTTTTGCTTATGGCAGGTTTCAGTGTCCTTTCATTAACAGCTAATCTCTCCAGGCTGTTTTTCATGAGTCAGGGTTGCAGGACACTTCTTTTTTTTTTCTTTCCACACTCCTGGAGCAACCAGAACCTGTGAATTTCAGTAATTAGGTTTTTAGATTAATAAAAAAAGGGCAAGCAAAGAAAGAATAAAGGGAAAATTTCTATCCAGTGTGTTTCTTCTGCACTTATCTCCACTGCACTGAACCTCTGTTTCTGTGCAGATTCTCCACTGACTTGCACCTGGCACTGGCATTTACAAAGGGAGGGTAAACGGGCCCTGCCATTCTGACACCCACACTGGGCACAGATGTCAGCGGACACGCATTATGCGAGGTGGCAGAGAATCAGGCCTGACATTCCAAGAGAGTTAAAGGGGGCAGTACACAGAAAACATTAGGCTAATAGCTACACAGCTCACTCTGCCACCTGCCACAAGCCATCACTACCCAGTCCCCCTCCCTCCAGAACAGAAAGCCAAAAAAATATTTCTCCCTCGTCCCTATCAGCTGCCAACTCCCTACTTCTCCCATCTTGCTCACACCACACTGCCCCCCACCAAAGGTCATAGCAACCTCCCCTGCACTCTGGGGCTGTCACCAGGCAGGCTCTGAATTGCTGGGTATTCTGATGCTTCAGTGCCGGGAGGGCAGGAGAGTTTGGTAAACGATGGCAGAGGAGAAGTTGGGTCCAGCTGCCCATAGCTGCAGTAACAGTATTTATCTTTTCCCCCTTTACAAAGGGGGACACCTGGTGGCAGTAACATCTCTCTTTCATGTGCCTCCTTCTCCTGTATAGGAAGAACTCTGCTGAGGGAGCCAACTTGCCAGCACTGGGACTAGAACCCAGATCTAGACTCTCACTCTCTTCCTCTAACTACAAAGGCAGGTTGCCATCTTGACTCAGGTGACTGGTCAATCACCGCCACCCATGCTATAGTGAAGCAGTAGACGTGGCTCCATCAACAAACTCTGGCTGCTTTTTTTGGAATACTGATTTTGGTTGATTTATGTAGCTTTGATACAAGGGATAAGAGAAATTCCCTGCTGGGAATTGCAGAACTGGCTGCCATACAGTGGAAGCAGAAATCCGCTGCCTCATTTATTTGTCTTTCTTCTTCCTTCCCACCCACCCTTAATACTTTTATATATTGAAAAACTGAAACCACTTTGCTCAGCCTTAAGCTTTGTCTTTCCCAGGACACTCTTAATTGTATCTCTGTACCTCTTCCCATTTGCAGATGCATAAGATTAAAGACAGAACTGTAGTAGATTTGGTTAGGTTTTAATAAGATTTGCTAAGGATACCGCAGAGAGCGCATATCATGGAGAATGTTGCTACTGTTTCTCTTTCATATACTGAAGGCAGCTCTCCACAGGAAACTCTTTCTCTTCCCTGAGTTTGAAGATGGAATTTTTGGTTTTCAATAGAAGAAATAGTTTCCATTAAAGAAAGCAATATCTACTTTATAATCTTAATGTTCGGTGAAGACGATGTTACATTGTAACCTGACAGGAGTGACTGGCGCTCATATCATCATCTGTTTATAATTAGTCAAGAAAAGATTTGGACAAAGACCATGGGCCTTTTAGAAGCGATCTAAGAAACTAGATTTTCAAAAGTGATGAGTGGTTTTGGGTTGCCTTCAGGGGCATCTGATTTGCCGTGGGTTGGTGTTTGACATTTTCTGTAAACCAGCCGCTTCAAAATCTCTTCAGTTGAGCCCCCAAAAATTGAGGCACCAGAAATCACTAGTCCCTTTTGAAAATGTCCAAATTGTCTTCACTGCTCATCCCTCTCTGCCTTGTATAAAAGGAGCCTAAAGAGCTTTTATTTAAAAAAAAAAAGTAATGACCCAAATCAGTAACAAGGTATGTGCAAACTTACTACCAAGGGAAAGGGGCCATTCAAAGCAAGTAGTTCACCACTCCTGCTTCACTCAGTTAGCATTCTCTACAAATGAGGTAATGATAAAGGTGTTAAATAATTACTTCTCATTATTTAACCTTAAAAGAGGCATCAAAAAATACTACCAGAAGAAGGGAATGGCCGTACCAAAAAGCTTCTCTAATGCAGGATGCTCTTGTGCCCAGCATTCTATGACTAGAAGACAAAGCTTTTCAATATGGTGTCAATGTTGCATCGTGTGCTATCACTCCTTTGTGTAATCTGAAAGCAGCACTGGTTTGGCAAAGCTATTTTCCCCATGTCTTAAATGTTGTTTCCTTTTACCCTGCCCTAGCCCAACCATGGCTGGAGATTCTAGGATCTTCATGAACCAGGACATGGAAATTGGAGTCACACCTATGGATCCCAAGAAGATTCCCAGACAGCCGCGGGACTATGTCCCTATCGCCACGGACCGAACCCGTCTCCTGGCAGCAGAAATGAAGAAGCCGCGCCAGCGTTACATGGAGAAGAGTGGCAAGTGCAATGTGCACCATGGAAATGTCCATGAAACCTACCGGTACCTTAGCGACCTCTTCACTACTCTGGTGGACCTCAAGTGGCGCTTTAACCTTCTTGTCTTTACCATGGTTTATACTGTCACATGGTTATTTTTTGGGTTCATTTGGTGGCTTATTGCCTACATCCGTGGAGATCTGGACCATCTTGAAGATGAGAACTGGATCCCCTGTGTTGAAAATCTCAGTGGATTTGTCTCCGCATTTCTGTTTTCCATCGAGACCGAGACCACAATTGGGTACGGCTACAGGGTTATCACTGAAAAATGCCCCGAGGGCATCATACTGCTCCTGGTTCAGGCTATTCTAGGCTCCATTGTCAATGCTTTCATGGTAGGGTGCATGTTTGTCAAAATCAGCCAACCAAAGAAGAGGGCCGAGACCCTCATGTTTTCCAACAATGCAGTGATTTCTATCAGGGATGAGAAGCTCTGTCTAATGTTCCGGGTCGGGGACCTCCGGAATTCCCACATTGTTGAGGCTTCCATTAGAGCCAAGCTGATCAAGTCCAAACAGACCAAAGAAGGGGAGTTTATCCCCTTGAACCAAACGGACATCAATGTGGGCTTTGATACAGGGGATGACAGGCTATTCCTGGTGTCACCACTCATCATCTCACACGAAATCAACGAGAAGAGCCCCTTCTGGGAGATGTCCCGTGCCCAGCTTGCGAAGGAGGAGTTTGAAATCGTGGTCATTTTGGAAGGAATGGTCGAAGCAACAGGTAAGGCTCTGCCAAAAATAACCAGCACAGAGCAAAATGACAATGCAGCTGGCATTAAAATGTCAACATTTGCCAATGACGCCTAAGCTAAGAATATGGGTCTTTGTCCCCCGCTCCTCCAAGGGGCTGGTCCATATAAATAAGATAAGTCTTATACAGCTTCTAAATACAAGAGGGGGTTCTGTGTGACATCACACTAAGCATGGGAAGGGGACCCAGTTTGGGGAGAAGTAAGAATGCCCATGTACTTTGTCCACAACTCAAAGCAAACCTGGACTTTCAATGTTCTGAAGTGTTTGGCTAAAGGGCCATCTCTGTTTCCCACCCAGAGGCAGCTGAAGGAGAGCTTCTGGGGCCCTCTACCCAACACTCCTTTCTTAACTGTGTGGTTGGCACCATGGCCTGGTGGTTAGGGTGATGGACTGGGTTTTAAGAGACCTGGGTTTGATTCCTGGCATTCTTCTGCTGGAGGCCATTAGCCAGAAGCTGGGAATCGGTGATAGGGGATGGAATACTTGATGATTACCTCTTCTGTTCATTCTCTCTGGAGCACCTGGCATTGGTCAGTGTTGGAAGAAAGGACAGTGCGCTGGATGGACCTTTGGTCTAACCAGTATGGCTGTTCTTATGTTTTAGCTCAAGTAGTTGTGGCTGAGGCATTTAGTTCTGTAAGTCCTGGGTTCAGCCCCAACTGTTGTCATACTTCTGTCTTGTATTTAAAATAGGCTATGCTTGGGCTATTTTAGATATCTGTTGTTACTACTGTTCAGTGATGATCCCTGTACCTCCAGTCACCACTCTGATGAAGGATGAGAAGGGTAGATATTTGTTACACTTTACATTTTCACCAGCTGGGCTAAACTAAATGTGTCAGAAACATAGCAGCTTTCTTGTTTGTGTCAAGCATAATCATTAGGTGAGTTGGAACAATAGGTGCAGACCTGGAGTTAAATGGGGATTATTATGTTCTAGTCTGCAATAGCCTCCCAAGAGAACTGGTGGGAGCTTTGTTGCCTAGGTCATTTTAAGCCAGACTGAGCAAAGCACAGGGGGATATGCTGTAGGAAACAATCAACTCTGCACTAGCCAGAAGTGACCTAATTAGAGAGGGGGTCCAACAGCCACTAAGTCCTGATTTTGAACACTCCCATGTTCAGCCTGTTTTGGATCTGGGAGTTTGGTTGGGGACCTCATCTTTCAACTTTATGGGTCTTTTTCCATCTCTTGTGTCTTTTAAACTATTTAAAACCAAGAATTCTGGTAGAATCTCTGGTTGCGATATGGGACAGAACTGGCCAAAAACTGGATTGAGGGTCAGTAGTCTAAAATGGCACTCATAATGAATATGAATTTGTATTTACTTTATTTGCATGTATGTAGTATATTTCATGACACATTATAGGTACATGATAAAAGATACTTGACCTCTTCACAAACCTCTTTACAATTATGCAGAAAATACGTCTCACTGAGGATCAGAGAGAGAGAGAATATGTACAGATCATTTCCTCCCTACTACAGTACAACCACCTCTAGGTGGAATGTAGCAGCCATTAAACAGCACAGAACAGCACTATGTAACAGATAGGATGGGAGAGATATGGCTGGCTGAGCTTTCTTTCCACGCCAAAGCCTCATTGCACATGGATGTGTGGTGCCAAATCTGCAGCTAAAAGCAGTGCTGACTTTCTCAAGGGGAGTTTGAAGAGGGTGCAGGAAGACAGAGAACAGACAAGTGTTATGCAGTGTCATCGGGTGTCACCCGGTTTCAATCAATTGAGTCCCAGTGTCCTCCCATGGATAGGTGTTCCTGGCCAGTTCTTCCTAAAACTGGAATGCAAAAGTATTTGTAGCACAACATGAAATTATTCTGTTTCTTTCAATCCCTGTCTCACTTTCCAGCAAGTACGAGAAGGCAGATGCATAGGGGAGTCCTTTTAGATCAGGGGAGCTGGAAGCAGTCTCAACTCCCTGGAACACAGGAAGTGACTACTTATTGGCTACTGTAACATCTGTTCCTGATGATTCCCTTTGCAACACTAAATATGCATGCACCCATTTTCTAGGGCACATTGTTTGTGTAGTGCTCTGTGTAAGGTGGAAAGCATGTCTCTCTCACCAGCAGAAGTGGGTCCAACAAAAGACGTCACCTCACCCACCTTGTCTCTCTAACATCCTGGCACCGACACAGCTACAATACTGCAGATAAGTTGTCTCTATGTCATTTTCTTCCTACCTCACCTTAACAGCTGGCATCACGCTAAGCATGGAAGGGGGACCCGGTTTGGGGAGAAGAACTCCCGCGAGCTTTGTCAAAGCAAACTTAGACTTTCAACATTCTGAAGTGTTTGGTTAAAGGCCCATCTTCGTCTCCCACCCAGAAGGAGCTGGAGAAGAGCATCGGGGGCCCTCTACCCAATGCTCCCTTCTGAACTGTGTGGTTGGCACCATGGCCTAGTAGTTCACGTGGTGAATTGGGTTTTAAGAGACCTGGGTTTGATTCTCGGCATTCTTCCACTAGAGGCCTCCAGGCCCAGGTCTCAATTTCTGGCTGTTCTGCTGACTCTCGGTGTAACCTTTGGTCATAAAGTAACCTCTCTGGGACCCAGTATCAGATGGGGGAAATGCCTGCCTACCCCACCCCAGGGGTGCTCTGAGTATTAAAGTGCTGGATGAGTACTTGTGAAGGGCAGGGCAGTTCTTTCAATGCTCCCTGGAATAGGGTAGGGGTACCTGCAACCGTGCTCTCCTCAGTGTAGCCTGTAAGGGGGGGCACTACCCAGCCAGCAGCACGGGGCATTAAGAATTAAGTCCCAGCTGGGGAATTCAGAGTTGGCTCAGTGAGGCTGGGAAGCAAAGATGCACCTGAGCCCCTTAGAGTGTGGTTGGGCTAATATCAGGAGAGAGGAAGGCACTGTTATCTAGAAGCCAGGACCAAGCATTCTGGAGGAAGAAGAGCCCCCGCTAGTATTGTGCGTTCATAGGAAGATCAGCCATTTTAAGTTTAAGGGGTTAAGCCGCAGGAGAGGACTGAGGCTGGTGACTGGGATGAGTTGGGGGGAGGGGTTAGCCCTGTACAGCTGGACTCTGAAATGCCAAAGAGGGCTTTTTAACTTAAGCTGAGCCCCCCTGCAAAGTTTCTCCCCCTGCCCCAATGTTATTATCATGTCTTACTGGTGGTGGTTGAATGGGATGCAGTTATTCAGGACTCTTAAAACAACCTTCAAGGGGACTAGGGGTGGAAAACCTAACTTTTATGAAATTTGCCCCCTCCCCCGGTGGCATTCAAGAGCCACTTCTGCTTCCCCCAGAGATGCCTGTTACCATAATTGTATCAGGAATACTCAAATGGACAAATAAGCAGGTTTTTAACCAATAAAACGCTAATTAAATATGACTGCATTGTGCCTTAGAATCATAGACTATCAGGGTTGGAAGGGACCGCAGGAGGTCATCTAGTCCAACCCCCTGCTCAAAGCAGGGCCAATCTCCAATTTTTGCCCCAGATCCCTAAATGGCCCCCTCAAGGATTGAACTCACAACCCTGGGTTTAGCAGGCCAATGCTCAAACCACTGAGCAAATCCCTCCTCCCCATGACACTGTCTTGACCCTGCCAAATCTCTGAGCACAGACAGTCCCAAAGATGGGAGAGCCCTGGCTGCCTATTTCAGAGTGTGCTTTAGCACAGATGCAAGCAACCCGTTGGTAAAAATTGGCAGAGCTACGTTCCAACCTTCCCACTCAATCCACTGCAAATGAGTTTGATTATTTTCCGTTTATGGTGATCATGCCGTTCACCACCAGGGGGCTCCATAATTCTCTAGAACAGGGGTTCTCAACCCATGGGTCGGGACCCAAAATTGGGTCACCAGAATGTTTCAAAGGGGCATGTGGCAGCTTCTGTCCCACGGGGCTGGCTGGGCTCGCCTCCCTGCTCCAGGACCTGCAACCTCTTGGGTCCCAGCACCACTCAAGTTTGGCCCAGCCGTCATAATGATGGGAGCCTGGGTAGGCCAAATTTGAGTGAGTGGCTCTGCAACATCATCAACCAGGTCACAGCTCCACTCACACAAATTTGGTCCAGTCAGGGTGCCAGGGACCTGAGCAGCAGTGCAGCCCCAGAGATTGCACTGCCTGGATTGGAGAGCCAAGCCCAGTCAGCCCCACAGCACAGGAGCTGCAGGAGCCACCATTGTGGGGTGAGTGGCAGGCAGGATGCAAGCCCCCGCTTTCCCACACACACACACACAGGTGACAGGACCTGACCAAAATCACACCAGGGCTTCCAATTCCAGACTATTTGCTAGGTCACGACAGGCCATAAACATTTACAAATAGGTTCTGAACCACCAAAAGGTTGAGAATCCCTGCCCTAGAAGGTTTTACTCCAAGAACTCACAGCAAGAGTTACCTACCGGGGCAGACTTTGCTGCAACAGGGCCTAGAGGAAGGTGATCCCTCAAACCGCTGGGTCCCAGACCATCCCCAGCTTTCAAAATTATCAGCCACACCTCAGAAGCAAACAGGATGCCAGGACAAAGACAAGCACTGGTGGTGCCCCCAGCTTCTTTCCTTGGTCTTCGGGTGGGTGGCGGCCCTCAGCAATCGCTGCAGCTTTCAAGCAGAGTTTGAGGGTAGTCCTGAACAGATTACATGGCAGCAGTGTAACCTATTTGCAATGCGTGCAAGGGCTAATGTAGCATTACTAGGGAGTATTCTTTTACCAGAGGTCTATTGTAGAGATGGGTCAATATGCAGATCTGGATGCGAACATTACCAAAGCTCATGAGAGTTGGAATGACAGATTCTGTTTAGGGACCATATCTAGTGTACTGGGCTGCTGTGTAGTGTGTTGGTTGTGTGTCTTGTTGGTATAAGAGTGCTGTAGAATAACACCATGTTATAGCTACTAGCAATCCATGCCCAATTTTCCATTCATTTACAGCAGTGTAAATCAGGAGTCACTCTATTGATGTCAATACAGTTACAGGAGTGTAAA